TTTCCCCCAAAATTAGGAGCTTAAAATAGTTTTTTCCTTAAAGAAACAGGATCTCACTCTGTCTCCCAGGCTGGAGTACAGGGGCACCATCATAGTTATCTAGCCACCTCAAACTCCTGGGCCCAAGCATTCCTCCCACCTCAGCCCTAAAGTAGCTTGAACTACAGATGAGTGCCACCACACTCCCTGCTTATTTATTTATGTGCTATCCTTTTTTTTTTGGCCTTACTGTGAAGTCAGGTCACAGATATTTCTGATTTTTTGTAGAGACGGGGTTTTCTATGTTGTAAAGCTGGTCTGGAACTCCTAGCCTCAAGCAGTCCTCCCACCTTGGACTCCAAAAGTGCTGGGATTATAGCACCTGAGCCACATCGCCCAGCCTCCTTCTTTTTTTTTTTAGACAAAGTCTTGCTCTGTCACCCAGGCTAGAATGCAGGGGCACGATCTCAGCTCACTGCAACCTCCGCCTCCCAGATTCAAGCGATTCTCCTGCCTCATCCTCCCAAGTAGCTGAGATTACAGGCACCCACCACTGCGCCTAGCTGATTTTTGTATTTTCAGTAGACACTGAAATAACCATCTTGGCCAGGCTGGACTTGAACTCCCAACCTCATGATCCGCCTGTCTCAGCCTCCCAAAGTGCCGAGATTACAGGCGTGAGCCACCATGCCTGGCCAAAGCATCCTTAGTTCTTAAGTGAAGGCAGTCTTTATATATAATTAATCATGTTTGAATATAACTTTTAAACTTTGCTTTAGACAAATTACAGTAAATATTTTTAAACCTGCCGTTTGTTTTGCTGAGAAAAAGCCTGTCTGGGGTTTAACCAAACCTGGAGGCTATGAAGTTAGTGAATTTATTTCTATCTTTTTCTTGTTCTAGAAATTAAGCTTAATGTTTTCAGGAATGTGTATCTTCCTTTGGATTAGACCTAAATGTGTGTGCCTTTATGTGATAATTTTAGGTTTTATGCATATGCTTATAAATTTGGGTCTTATTTTAATTAACCATAATTGTCTGAAACTTGAATTTTGGAAAGTTTTCTCTGCATTTATTAATTCTGCCAGATCATAGTGGTAGCTCTGAAACTTATATATGTACCTTTTATTACTTGACAAATATTTCTCCAACAGATACAAGATTATATAAAATTGCTTTCCTATTCACAGTGTATAGTCCAGTTAAACAGGAAAGTCTCTGAAATTAGCCTCACCTTTGTTCCTGTCTCTACTGTAGCATTTGGCACATCATATTGTAATAATTTACTTATATGTGTAGCTGGGACTACAGCCATGTGCTACAGTGATGGCTACATTTTTTAAATTTTGTGTAGAGACAGGGTCTCACTGTGTTGCCGAGGCTGGCCCCTCTGGCCTTAAGTAATCCTCTCACCTGAACCTCTTGAGTCATTGGGATTACACATGTGAGCCACTGCACTAAGCATGTCTGTGAGTTTTGATAAGAAAGAACTTTGTTGTTGCACCTTTTAGAGATAATGAAATATAATGAAAAGAAAATTAACATTGGAGTCAATCAGACCTCCTGGTTCCAAATCTCAGGTATGTCACATTTGCTAGGGCCTTAGGCAAATTACTTAAACTTTCTGAGCCTCAGTTTACATACCTTTAAAATAAGGAAAATAGTACTGATTTTATAAGGTTGCTATGATAAATTATTAAAAGTACCCAAAACAGTTCTGCCACATAGCAGATGCTTCACAAATACCTTCTTTTTTTGTTAGCATCCCTGGGCCTAGCAGTTCAATACTTAAGGTCTCATTAAACTTTTGTTGAATGACTTAATGATTAGATGAATACATATTCTTTTCAAAGAAGAAGAATCATATTTAAAGTAAAGAGCAGCCAGGCATGGTGGCTCACACCTGTAATCCCAGCACTTTGGGAGGCTGAGTCAGGTGGATTGCTTCAGCCCTGGAGATCCAGACCAGCCTGGGCAACACGGTAAAACCCCGTCTCCAATAAAAATACAAGAATGAGCCACCACACCTGGCTCATTTTTGCATTAGGCTTTCCTTTATTTTCCTGTATTTTTGTACTCGAGGCTGGGAGTGGGAGGATCGCTTGAGCCCAGGAGACAGAGGCTGAAGTGTGCTGAGATCACACCACTGCACTCCAGCCTCAGTAACAGAGCAAGACCCCAGAGATAAAAATAATAAAGAATAATTAATATTATATAATTGACTTGCTATTGATTTTACCTTTTAATTTCATTGTTAAAAATGCATTCTCCCTACATTTCAAAATTGTTGCTGTGTGCCTAGTGAGTAGAGGTGTAACACTACATAGTTTCATTGCACCTAGCTGTGCCTTTCATGTCTTAGATTTCTTGCCTCTTACGTGTTCAACATGGAATTTTATGTTTTAAAGAAGAATAATTTTCTTTAGTCTTCTTTGATCTTCCTCATGGCATTTTGGATTCTCTTTCATTTATAACATCTGCCTTACTCTAGATTATACAAATATTATTTGTAGACTTGTTTTTGCCTACCACCTAGAGCTGAAAATCTACTACAGAGGTACTTAACTTATGTAGGGTCCCTTATTAGTCTTTCTGAGACTATGATGATAGCTATGAACTATCCCTCCATAAAAATGTATACATGTACAAACAGAAGTTTTCATATCAGTTTAGGAGGTTCATGGACTCCAGGGTAAGGACTGTTTCTATATTGTTTCTTCAGAGCAGTAACTGAATTTCATTGACCTCTGTGTCTATGGCAAAGCTTATCATGTACATGTATAGGAGATACTCAGTTTATAGCTTAGGAATTGATTAATTCAAATGCAAGATGAGAATCTAAGTTTTTTACTACAGAATCTCTAAACACAGTTTTTTTTTGTTTGTTTGTTTCCTTAGGCTTTCATCTGAGTGGCACAGTAACTGAGCTGGCCACTGCTTCTGAACCAGCAGTGACTTACAAAGTTGCAATCAGTTTTGATAGATGCAAAATCACCTCAGTGACATGTGGCTGTGGGAACAAGGACATATTCTACTGTGCCCATGTGGTAGCACTCTCACTCTACAGGATCCGTAAACCAGACCAAGTCAAATTGCGTCTTCCTATCTCTGAAACCCTTTTCCAGATGAATAGGGACCAGCTACAAAAGTTTATTCAATATTTAATCACGGCACACCACACTGAAGTTCTTCCTACTGCGCAGAAACTGGCAGATGAGATTCTATCTTCCAACTCAGAAATCAACCAAGTAAACGGTAATTGTACAACATTTTTATTGAAAAAAAAATCTTTTTCATCATCACTGTCACCAAAGCAACCCTCTTACCTCGACTTTTTTGCTTTATTGCATGTTAAGAGGCTAGGATATTTCTGCAGTTGCAATCACTTAACTTTAATAATTTCACTCTATCCAAACAACTGTGCTTAACTCTAGGTTTCTGAAAGCCTTCCAACTGTCTATCTCAAAAAGATTTTGGTGAAAAAGAACAGAGAATTATAGTATTATATATTGGCCTAGTTTATGGACTTTGTTGATGCAGTCCCTGTCCCCAGGAACCTGAAATGTTCAGTGAAATTTCTTTTCACTGAAAAGATACAAAATAATTTGTATCATTCAGTGAATTAAGATGGATATGAGAATTCCCTTGATATTTTAGGATCCTACATTAGCATCAGAGTTATCCTAAGGAGAATGTGTTAGTGTTGTGCTTATGAACTATATATTGGGGTGCATGAATGGAGAAAGAGATTATGTTCACTCATCATTCAACAAAATTTATTAAGTTCCATGTGCAGGGAAGAGTGTTGATTGTTGAGGGTCTAAAACAGACATGGTTCTTAAAGTAGCTTATAATCTAATAGTAACAACAGACAGGTCTGAAATAAATGCTTTTTTCTTTGTTTTTTGTTTTTGTTCATTTGGGTTTTTTTTGAGATGAAGTTTTGCTCTTGTTGCCCAGGCTGGAGTGCAACGGCAAGATCTCGGCTCACTGCAACCTCTACCTCCCAGGTTCAAGCTATTTTCCTGCCTCAGCCTCCCAAGTAGCTGGGATTATAGACATACACCACCACGCCTGGCTGAGTTTTTACATTATTAGTAGAGACAAGATCTCTCCATATTGGTCACGCTGGTCTTGAACTCCTAACCTCAGGTATCCATCCTTCTCGGCCTCCTGTAGTGCTGGAATTATAGGTGTGAGCCACTGCACCCACCAAATGCTTGTTTTTATAATGAAGCCAGATTGTAGAAGCCTAATCATAGAAAACCACTGAAAATTTTTAAGAAGAGCCTGGGCATGACGGTCACGCCTGTAATCCCAGCACTTTGGGAGGTCAAGGTGGTTGAATCACCTGAGGTCAGGAGTTCAAGACTAGCCTGACCAACATGGTGAAACCCTGTCTCTACTAAAAACACAAAGATCAGGCTGAGCATGGTGGCCCACGCCTGTAATTCCAGCACTTTGGGAGGCTGAGGTGGGCATATGACGAGGTCAAGAGATCGAGACCATCATGGGCACCATGGTGAAACCCCGTATCTACTAAAAATACAAAAAGTAGCTAGGCATTGTGGGGGGGGTGCGCCTGTAGTCCCAGCTACTCAGAAGGCTGAGGCAGGAGAATCACTTGAACCTGGGAGGCAGAGGTTGCAGTAAGCCAAGATCGCGTACCATTGCACTCCAGCCTGGCGACAGAGCAAGACTCTGTCTCAAAAAAAAAAAAAGATCAGCCAGGCATGGTGCTGCACAACTGCACATCTGTAATCCCAGCTGCTTTGGAGGCTGAGGCAGGAAAATCACTTGAACCTGGGAGGCGGAGGCTGCAGTTAGCTGAGATCATGCCACTGCACTGCAGCCTGGGTGACAGAGTGATACTCCATCTCCAAAGAAAAAAAAAGAAAAAAGAAAAATTTTAAGAAGAGGAGTTACGTAAGCCAGTTTTCATTTTGTTTTTTTAGATCCTACTATATTCAAGGCGTCATGCAAAGGACTTTATATATGTTAATTCATTTAGGTTTCAAAACTACTTTGTGGGGTATAATAATTTCTGCTTTACAAAATAAGGAAATTATTTATAACCTAGGTTCATTTGACTTAAGAATTTTTTGAATTTCTCTAAAGCTTTTTGAGTTTCCCTAAACTACCTTTCTCTTGGATTTGTGTCTCTGCTCAAATCTCATGTCCAGTTGTAATCCCCCATGTTGGAGGAGGGGCTTTGTGGGAAGTGATTGGATCATGGGGGCAGATTTCCCCCTCTCTGTTCTCCGGATAATGAGTGAGTTTTCAAATATCTGATTATTTAAAAGTGTGTAGCACCTCCCTTTTCTCTCTCTTCCCCCTACACCAGCCACATAAGATGTGCCTGCTTCCCCTTTGCCTTCCATCATGATTGTAAATTTCCTGAGGCCTCCCAAGCCATGCTTCCTGTACAGCCTGCAGAATCACGAGCCAATTAAACCTCTTTTTTTTTTTTTTTTTTTTTTTTTTTTGAGACAGAGTCTCACTTTGTCACCAGGCTAGAGTGCAGTGGTGCAATCTCGGCTCTCTGTAACCTCCACCTCCCAGGTTCAAGTGATTCTCCTGCCTCAGCCTCCCAAGTAGCTGGGACTACAGGTGTATGCCACCACACCCAGCTAATTTTTGTATTTTTAGTAGTGACAGGGTTTCACCATGTTGGCCAGGATGGTCTCAATCTCTTGACCTTGTGATCTGCCCGCCTCGGCCTCCCAAAGTGCTGAGATTATAGGGATGAGCCACCACGCCCGGCCCAATTAAACCTCTTTTTAAAAAATAAATTACCCAGTTTCAGTTATTTTTTTAATAGTAGTGCAAGAGTGAACGAGAATACAGAAAATTGGTACCGGGAAGTCAGGCATTGCTATAAGGATACCTGAAAATGTGGAAGCAGCTTTGGAACTGGGTAACTGGCAGAGGTTAGAAGAGTGTGTAGGGCTTAGAAGAAGACAGGAGGATGAGGAAAAGTTTGGAACTTCCTAGAAACTTGTTAAATCGTTGTGACCAAAATGCTGATAGTGATATTGACAATGAAGTCCAGGCTGAGATGGTCTCAGATGAAGATGGGGTACTTATTGGGAACTGGAGCAAAGACATTGAAGGCATTGTTCCCCTGCCCTAGGGATCTGTGGAACTTTGAACTTGAGAGAGATGATTTGGGGTATCTGGCAGAAGAAATTTCTATGCAGCAGTGTTGAAGATGTAACCCGACTGCTTCTAGCAACCTCAGCTCATATTCGTGAACAACAAAAAAAATAACGTAAAACTTTCAGAATTTATATTTAAAAAGGAAATATAGTGGTAAATGTTTGGAAAATTTGCAACCTGGCCATATGGTAGAAAATAATTCCCCCTTTCAGGGGAGGATTTCAAGCTGCCTGCAGAAATTTGCATAAGTAAAGCCAACACAATGAGGAAAATGTCTCAAAAGCATTTCAGAGACCTTCATGGCAGCCCCCCTCATCACAGGCCCAGAGACCTAGGAGGGAAGAATGATTTCATAGGCCAGGCCCGGGGCTCTGCTACCCTGCTCCTTAGGACACTGTTCCCTGCATTCCAGCCACTCCAGCTCCAGCTGTGGCCAAAAGGGCCCCAGATACATCTCAGGCCACTGCTACAGAGGGTACAAGCCGTAAGCCTTGTCAGCTTCCACATGGTGTTAAGCACAGAGGTCAAAAGTTGAGGCTTGGGAGCCTCTGCTTAGATTTCAGAGAACATATGGAAAACCTTGGATATCCAGGCAGAAGTCTGCTGCAGGGGCAGAGCCTTCATGGAGAGCCTCTACTAGGGCAGTGCAGAGGGAAAATGTGGGTTGGAGTCCCCACACAGATTCCCCACTGGAGCACTGCCTAGTGGGACTTTGAGAATGGGGCTACTGTCCTCAAGATCCCAGGATGGTATATGTACCAACACCTTGTACTGTGCACCTGGAAAAGCCACAGATACTCAACACCAGCCCTTGAAAACAGCCATGGGAGCTGAGCCCTGCAGAGCCACAGGGGTGAAGCTGCTCAAGCCCTTAGGTGCCCACCCCTTTCATCCCTGTGACCTGGATGTGAGACATGGAGTCACAGGGGATTATTTTGGAGCTTTAAGTTTAATGACTGCCCTGCCAGGTTTTGGACTTGCCTGGGACCTGCAGCCCCTCTATTTTGGCTGATTTCTCCCTTTTGGAATAGTGGGTATATTTACCCAGTGCCTATACTTCCGTTCTATCTTGGAAGTAACTAACTTGTTTTTTATTTTATAGGCTCATAGGTGGAAGGGATTTGCCTTGTCCCAGATGAGACTTGGACTGTGGACTTTTGAGTTAGTGCTGAAATGAGTTAAGACTTGTGGAACTGTTGAAAGAGGATGATTGTATTTTGCTATATGAGAAGAATGTGAGATTTAGAAGGGCTCGGGGCAGAATAATATGGTTTGGATTTGTGTCCCCACCCAAACCTCATATTGGGTTTGTAATCCCCACTGTTGGAGGAGGGGCACGATGGGAGGTGATTGGATCATGGGTGTGGATTTACTCCTTACTGTTCTCGTGAAAGTGAGTGAGTTCTCATGAGATCTGGTTATTTAAAAGTGTATAGGCCAGGCACGGACACTCACACTTGTAATCCCACCATTTTGGGAAGCCAGGGCAAGTGGATTGCTTGAACTGAGGAGTTTGAGACCAGTCTGGGAAACATGGTAAAACCCTGTCTCTGCAAAAAATACAAAACTTAGCTGGGCATTGTGGTGCACACGTGTAGTCTCAGCTACTCAGGAGGCTGAGGTGGGAGGATGGCTTGAGACCAGGAGGCAGAGGTTGTAGTGAATCAAAATTGCATCACTGCACTCCAGCTTGGTGATAGAGCCAGACTTTGTCTCAAAATAATAAATAAATACAAATAAAAGTGTATAGCACCTCCCACTTGTCTCTCTTCCTCCTGCACCAGCCATGTAAGATGTGCCTGCTTCTCCTTTGTCTTGTAAGTTTCCTGAGCCCTCCCTAGACATGCTTCCTGTACATGCTATGGAACCATGAGCTAGTTAAACTTCTTTTCTTTATACATTACTCAGTTTCCGTTATTTCTTTATAGCAGTGCAAGAATGGACTAATACAATAACTTAGCTACTAGTGTGGAAGAGGCAATAAGACCCGGTGGGTGGCCTGTATAATAGAGTAGTCCACATGCCAAAGGACCTACCTTTCCCAGTTGTTCAACAGAGCCAATCAAGTCCTACACACAACCTCAGCACAACCTTCC